CATGCCCGAAAAAAAAAAAGGCGCGAAGCAACGGAAACCCTGCCTCCTGCGCTTGCCAGCTGGGCTCTGCTCTAGGAACGAGGCATTGGCAAACCACTTCCGAAACACTTTGCCTTGAAAACTGCAGGGACTCGTCCAGGCAGTCACCGCAGAGTCGGTAACGACTGAGTGCGGATAAAAAAAAAAAATCTATCATGGGAATCTGAGAGTGACCACTATTTTGGTTACTCAAATTTTTATTTCTTTATAGCAAGGGCCTCTAACCTTTTTGGTAAGAAGAGTTATTTCTATTTAGTGGAAAACATCTGAACAATTAAAAATGTACCGAAGATATATCATAACATACATGGATTAGTAAACCAAATATCTGCAACACTAGATTTTATTAGTCATCAGTACATTAACATTTTGGTGGAATGAAGTTATTCTTATTACTTAATCAACTACAGACTGATCTTTATTTCAATGTGGTGAATAAAAATAATTCATTCTTAATGGAAATAATAAATCCCTCTCCTCTCTTCTGCTCCAGTTAGCTTTTGCAAATTATTTTTCCTACCATCTATGGTAAGAGTGATATTACAAGTGTATCCATAATGAATTAAGTGAATTAAAAGGAATCATGATTAAGCAATCTTGAAGATATTTAGAAAACTTGTTCTATACAGAACGAATTTAGAAACCCATTTTCTAAATATGGGTCCTTTTTTGACTTGTCTTAATATTCAGAATGAGTTTCATAAAATGAGTAGCAAGAATCACAACCTTCGTTGCCTCTAGGTAGTAAAATTTAGCTGCCTTGCTTAAAATGTGTGGCCTTCAAAATCTATCCTTGTGCTGTTTGCTTGCACCCAATAATTTGAGAGATACAGTCTTTGAATACTGCTGGACCTGCTAGGCAGAGAAGTGATAGTCATAGAAGAATGGAATCCTTGTATTGAATGAAAGAATATTTTTCTTTATGACAAATTGGGTTAGAAAAGACTAAATAAGGTACAGTAAAGAAAGGAGAATCAATATTAAATCAATTCTATTCAGGTTCTTAAACTGATGGCCTTAAAAGCTATAGCCTGGATTAGTGTTTTCTAATTGCCAAGCTCTTTCTCCTCTGATACCAGGCTAAAACTAACCGTTGCAAGGAGGAAGTCTTTCTCTGGTAGACTAACATCGAGTGACATTTCACCCATTTAATACAGAGAAGTTATATAGACTTCCTTGATCATTGCTCTCACAAAATGCTCACCTGGTGAGCTACCTGATACTACTACTATCACCATTTATTAACTACCTTTAAAAATGTCACTTCAAACACAATTACTTTTAAAAAAGAATTGAAGAGCCCTCAGCCTTTAGAGGCTACCTATAGGTGACTTTCTACCTCTGCATTTCCAGCAATCTGATGTTGGGAAAGCTTTTTGCAAGGCAATGTCACATTGCCATGCTTCTCAGAAATCAGCCAATTAGAGTTGATCTGTCAATCAGGAGATATGATAAGAAGTTTTCTGTTTTTTGCTGTTGCTGATAGTGGGAACTAAGAAATCTTGAGCCCAGCTACAGAAAGGAAGAGGAAAGCCACATGGCTTCCCACTTTCTCAAGCAATTCTAATACTGCAGCAATCCAGTATGTGTCATTGGGCAAATCATTAATGCATGCATGAAGGTACTTACAGAGATTTCAAGGAGAAGCAGAGATTGATGATTGCAAGATCATTTAAAAGATATTGAGATGATTACACCTGTGGCTGATTTGGATTTTTGCTCTGATCTGAGTACAATAGCAATGACTGCTTGATTAAATAGCATCCCTCCCTTTTCTTCCAACCTAAAAAGGTTGGGAGGGTTCTAAAATTGAACACATGGCACTTCATACATATCTTTTTTCTATTTTAAAATGAATAGAATGGTCCTTGGACAAAGTTCTATTCCATGAGAAGCTATACTAGTATTTGTAATGTATATATTTCTCTTTGCCTGAACGTAACACATTTTATGCTTCTTTTTGCAGGTGGATACCAAAGCACCACGTTACTTATCACTACCTAAAAATGCTAAACTTGCAGAGAAAATACGGAAAAGAAATCAATCCTCTTTTAAAGGTAATGCAGTTTAGGAATAAAAAGAAGAATGAATTGTTCAGCATTTTCACTGCCATATTATATACTTAACTATATTATAAATTGTTCTTATATTCAATTCTATTTATGTTTGTATATTATATCAAATACAGCTTCACTACCATTTCAAATATGTTCCTCCGTGCCTTAACTCTAGAAAGCTTTTTCCTGATTGTAAGCTTTAATTCTGTCTATGATACTATACAAAGCAAAGACTTACATGGGCAGGATAGAAGAGGTGAACAATGACATATGCAGTCTTCCACTTTTGACCATAGCTAGTTACAGAAATGTGAAATCTTTGCATACACGCATACATAGATATCTCTATCTCTCTTCCTAGTTTATAGGAACATGAAAGTCAACCTAGGTGCTCCTTTTTATTTGGCCAATGACAGACTGGTCAAGAATAAAGTAACAAGTAAAAAAGTGTGGTCTTGATAAATCAATTAGCAATTATTAGTATTTAGGTGCCACCAGTCAAGGTTTGCAGATGTACCGTAGCTTTATTTGCATGCATTTAACAGAGTACTTTAGTGCATAGCACCATGTTACAGAACAAGTTTCACTTAGTTACTTTTTGTGTTTTAGTATTGAATAATTTCTCTTTTAACTGAGTCTTTGAGATGTGAGTGGTCAACTTTCTTCAGTCAAGGGCTACACATGGCCTTTCAGTGGCATGTTTGGAGAACAAGATAGGGCTAAGATCAGTAAAAGTTCTCAAGTGAAAAAGTGAATGGAATTAGAATAGACATGTAAGAAAATTAAACCCCAGCTTCACCCCTCAAAAAGCAACCCACCTGTGGAATCACACTTTATCTTTAATGCTTTTTCAGCATTACAAAAATCTAATTTGCTCAAAACTGCTAGAAGTGTGTAAAACAATTTAAAAAAAAAACCCCAAAACCCTAGCCCTAAAATTTCCCATTCCAACCTCAGCAGAATTTTCCTGATAGTTTAACATTTGTAATGGTCCATTTTGTGGGTAGACTACCTCTGGTATGGTGGAATGATCTGTTCCAATGCTGGAACACTTCTGGCAAGGTCTATTTTGAGGATGGGGTGGGACATTTGGGGTAAGACTATTTCAGTCTCAAAAGATGTACTAACTGTACTGCAGATTTTCACTGAAAGCCATAGAAAAGATGGTAGACCACTGTTTCTCAGCCGTAGACACTTTAAGATGGGTGGACTTCCAGCTCCCAGAATTCCCCCAGCCAGCATGCTGGCTGGGGAAATTCTAGGAATTGAAGTCCACCCATCTTAGAGTATCTGAGGTTGAAAAATACTGTGGTAAAGTATTGGGGATTATGCAAGCAACCCCACAGCTGCTTAGCCTCAAAGACTGTTAGTTCAGTTGATTCCAAATACTTCTTCCTATTCTGCAGAACTACAAGGATTCTGGCTCCTCTCTGTCACATATCTATGTTCTCCATCATGTATTGTTTTTATTTTGTTCCTGGTTGTGTCAATAGCTCAGACTCATTTATTACTTGTCTATGCCTTCCTATCACAGCCTTTGCCTGTTGCCAGTTCTGTAAGTTTGAGGAAACTCCAGGACTTCTCTTAACAGCTTGCCTTTTCAAGGATATTTGTAACAGGTTGTAGATAATGGTGGTAGATATGCTAGATTAAGCCAGCAATGAAGCAACTTTTCTTATGGCGGTTACTGGCACATGATGTCACAAGTATGAAAAGAATTAAGCATTCAAAGCATTTTATTAAACCTTAAAAAAAGGGGGAAAATGTTTATTTTGCATTTCAGCCACATTAGGTTACCAGATTAAACAATTCAGCATTTTGTGTAAGAACCTATTTCCTAATTCATAGCATCATTGTAACACTCTTGGGGTTCCATGGCTCTTTATAATTCTTGCTCGTCTCTTCCTCTGTAAAAGTAAACTGTATACCCTAGGACAAGCAGTATTTACATTTCTGATTCTCTGCCTCTTGCAACTTAACTGCCCAACTATTTGTTTCTCTTATTTCAGTGTCTTTGTGTAGTATACATGTGGACTGTATTTTCTTCTGTCCCTTCTGTCTTATCTAATATACATCCCCTTTGTCAAGTTATGTAGCTTGAATCCATCATGTTGGGCATGTGTGTTCATACTGTTTGTAATAAAATGTACAGTCAGTTATTCTAATATTTGACTACTGTGTTCTTACTCATTCCATACTAGAGAGGGACCCTAGTATTACATCATCCATTATTACAGTATCTGGGCCTACCGTAGGGCTACTGACCATAAAGATTCATATCAGATGCCAGTTAAGTGTATGTGCTTTACAGTACCTGTATCTTTAAGGACATGTGCTATACAGTGTACCATGTAGCACAATTCCAGCACGATGGCAGTGCCTTCAATTTTCTGTTTGTAGGAAGCAGGAGAACATTTTGCTAGGATGTGTATTTAGTTGGATAGGATGGGCTCATAATATAGCATTTGGCTGAATTGAGCAAATCCTAGAGGTGATTATGATGGTGTTATCACTGCCTGTAATATACACACCCATCTGTTTAGTCCTGTTTTTGATTATTGTCCAATTAAATAAGAATCCTGCAAAACCTGTTTGTCCAGAAACAAGAGTAGAACATTTATTGGAGGTTTTGTTATAGCACCTTCAATTCTGTAAAAGAAACTATTGAATTTCTCTTGAGTTACTTTCCTGGAACCATAATCTAGGGATATCCAAAGATTTGAACAAGCCTCAAGACCTTCTTCTCATGGTTGAACTGGAAATTATGCCATGAACCGTTTCTTAAAAGTTTTTTTTCCCCCAATACTGTTATTCAGACAGCTGCCGAAGGATTACAAACTCAAACTCTCTACATGTGTATTGTAATTTTTTTGATTTCAAACATAGATTCATGACATTGTGTGCTTCCACTACCATTTCATTGAATACTGCTAATATTTTCCAAACTAGAATATGCATTAACACATGGTGCTGGAAAGCATGTCATGTATACATAATTTTCAAACAAATGGAGACCATAGCCTTTTCTCTTTGAAATGGCTGCTTTGGTAACCTGGAGAACTTAATCAATGTTAGTATAATGCATGATTTTGATTAAGTTTATACTTAGGTTTTCTATAGTTTAAGAATTTGTTTTAGATACATACAAATTTAAAAGTTTCCTTTGATGAAAAAAAAAAAGCTGAATTAAAGCCAGATAAACATGTAATGTGTTCTAATATTTCATGTTCCCTGTGAATAGCAAAACAATGACAATGTTGTGGTCCTTTATCAGCTTCCTGTCATTCTGTCAGTTCCTTATATTTTATCACAAGTATGGTGTTGTTCGTCATCCTTCCTTTTTTTGCATTAGTATTTACTTAAAAGTTAACTATCAATACAGTTCCAGAGCACTACAATTGCTTATACTGTACTATGAAATTACATAGAGGAAGCATAAAAATTTAGTCTCCCAGAAAAATGTACCCCAGAAAACTGACTGTAAAAAAGGATGAATTTGGCAATGCTGATTTGCGTTTGAGTACAACTCAGTTTCTTATCTTGATGAATCTATGAAGTGAGAACATGCACTTCAGCTGTTTTAAATAATAATAATATGCAAAATAATAATAATATGCAAAATTGGCACTGAACGAGAGTGTGACTGGAATTTTAAGTAGATTGCACCCTGAGGCTAAAATGTGCCTGTGTTTACAGGAATATATTAGCTATATTACACACATTATGTAAGCAAGAAAATGGGGATATCTGGGAATCAGCCATCCACTTTGGTGGTGTGTACAATCCTACAGAAAGAGCACAGAGTTGGGTGTAGATATGCTGTCTTTCAATGTACCAGCCCATGAACATCGCTCTTCTCCCTATGTGATTATTTTTGTTAGCAAAAGAATACCCAACTAAGACTATGGTTCCATATCAACTGAATGTAATATATTCACGATTTGGACAGTTTTGTGTTAACATGTGTTCCATAACTTATTGTGACAGTCAGTATATTGATATATTTTATATCTACATATATATATATATATTTTAAATTTGCAGTAAGTGACAGCAGTGATTCTGAATCTGACCATACCATGGTGCTGAATTTAAAATCCCAAGCAGGAAAAATTTTGAGAGATCAAAGACTTCGGCAGCAACAATGCAGAATTGAGTGGAAGAATGAAATGGACAGGGACAATGGTGGTAAAGTGAACTATCCTGCAGGAACAAGAGGCTTCCGGCAACCACTGTTGCCAAGACCAGCATTTGGCACAGTGAATGAAGAAGAATCAGCTGAAGATGACAGATCAGTCAAGCCCCAGCCACCACCTCGATTAGCCCGACAGGCATCAAAAGCGGAAAGGCCAAGAGATAAATATGAGAATAAACCACAGTAATAATTATTAAACAGATGATAACATTCAACAGCACATATAGTAGACTAACATTGTGTAAACTGTAGTAGGGCAGTTGGATTCATTTAAAACCTAGCCCTAGATTTGTGGGGGTGGGAAGGAAAGAAAATCTAGTCAGAAATCAAGTAGGGAGAAATTCTCAGCTGCTATGGGACCAGATAGTGCAAATTATACAATGAAGACAAGTTTGATCACTTATTATAGATTGTATGCTTGACATGTGATTTATCTATCTATCAAGGGAAAGACTACCAGATCTGAACTGTAAAAAATCTGGAACACCACTAAGGGGCAGCCCTAATTAAAACTAAATTTTAATTAGAGGTTGCACTAAAAAAATTCCCATCCTGTTAAAGATATCCAATGTGCCGACTCACAGTTAGGAATTACTTTAAAGAAGAGTCTGCAACAACAAACAGGGTTCTCTTGATTTGGGGATACAATCCTGTACATGTACTCTGTACAGGTACATGTACATGTACTCTGTACATGTACTCTAAAAGCAAAGGAGCTTACTTTTAGGTAAATGGGAATAAATTTTGCACATTATTACAACTGCATAATACTTGAACCACAGAGCCAACTACAGCAGCCATCAACTATTTTCTTGACAATCCTTCACACCTTGCCATCGCTCCTCTGCCTTGCTATTTCTTATGAATCACAGATCTGTTCATGATCATCCACAGGAGCTTGCTTTTTTGACAGAAATAATAATGCATAGATTATTCTGCTCATTCAACTCAGGTAATATAGAGGCTGCTTCCAAAGTCCAAATTCTAATATTCTGTAGAAATGCAAATAGGACAGCTTTTCTTTCAATCATCATGCTTTTTATTACACTAAGTTAATGGTCAGATGTTTATTTATTTATTAAAATGTACTGAAGATATTTTAAATTATATTTTAGCACCCAGGTACAGAATTTAAAAAAAAAAAAACATTGCAGATCAAAGATCTTTGCTGTAAGCCAGACAGGATTGTCTTTAAAAGCCTTGCTACAGCGCTCCTCTTATATGTCGCTCTTACTTAATGATTTCTTCTCTTTGAAAATAGTTTGCCATTTGAAGGAAGGAAAATAAAAATGTGTTATATATGTATTTTTCCTAGTGTTTTTCTCAGAGGTGCAGAGTCTGCTTTTTTTTTTTTGGCTCAACCAGATGTTGGTCTGTTGGTTGCAACAGAAATTGACTGGCTGGCTTGTTGCCGAAGCCTGATGTCGTGGGCTGAGAGAGAGTGACTGGCCCAGAGTCACCCAGCCGGCTTTTGTGCCTAAGGTGGGACTAGAACTCCTTGTTTCTAGCCTGGAGCCTTAACCACTAGGCCAAACTGGCTCTCTTGCATTTTTTTAGACGCACACGCACATTCATTTTTTGGGTTTTATTTTTAGCATCACATTTTAGAAATCAACTTTTAAAAAAAAAATCACAAATCAGAGCTGTTTTCTAAAGAGTTATTGGTCATTATAATATGCTCTTAGTATAGGATACATTAGGAATATAGACTTAAAGTAATATTTGCTTTACAAATGAAATCATCCTACAGGATAGTAAAACATGCAATAAGGCACCAAAATATGAGATTGTGATAAATTTTAGTTTTGACTTAAGCTGCCCAAGCACAGTAATAATATTGTGCATTTTTATTTGATGCTGTTGCTTTGAGCTGAAATTCAGTTCAACTTTAAATGGCTGAAAAAAGGTCTTTAGTGCCATCTATTGGTAAGTATACCAATAACTTTCTTTTGCTTTTTTAGAAAAGAAAACTCTGCTCTTGTTTAACATATATTACGTTGTTTTAAATATATCAGCAATCAGCTGATGTGATTTTTAGGCAAGTCATATATTATGTACTCTGGAGAAGTACATTCTGTAACATGTTGACAGACATATAAAAGTTCCTGGGACTTTTGGATGGGCATAGATAAGATGCGATGGTAACAAGTGTTCTGTATCAATATATAAAAGGAAGCAAGATAAAGTAACATTTGTGGAATTAGCCAAACTGATGTGAGGGAATTCAAACCTAATTAAATTCTTCAATTTGGTACAATGTTAACATTTTGGACACTTCGACCAGCATATCGTTTAAGTCACAGGTTACACAGGAGTGTAGCGTACTGCAATCCTGTGCAGACTACTATTAAAACTATCATTCTAGAAGAGGTTTGGAGTTTTTTTGTGTACAGTACACAAAAACAGTATACTTTACACCATTTCCCCCCAGTGTAGGTACCCAGATATGTGGATTTCAACTCCCAGAATTCTAAACAGTACCCATGCCCAACAGGGAATTTTGGGAGCTTATCTATAATTCTGAAACTATCCAGAAAGGAAATGCTGCTTTAAAGCTTTAGAAGTTTAAGTATAGATGATTCTACATATAGGAGATATGCCCAACAGTCTGTGTATGGAAAGTTTAGTTTATAGACCATGTGTTCAGGAAGAATACTGATTAAGAATTACTCAGATTGTAGCTTACTATATCTGAGGTGGCAATTTATTAGCAGTGGTCAAAGGCACACAATTGGAGTCACTGCCCTTTCTCCCAAAAAGTGCAGGTTATCATGAATATAATTACTACAATTACCTTTCCCCACCCTTTATATTGTGCCAGGAAATTTTGGGAAAATTCAAGAACAGCCAATCGGTGTTATTTTCTAGAAAAGTAAATGGAGGGCCAAAATGTTTCAAGCTAGAAACAGGGAAAATATTTTGTCTCTAAGGTGGGTGTCCCCTGACAAGCGTACTGATGGTTCTTTTATATCTGGACTTCACCCAGATTTCAGTATAGATTCAAATATTGTGGCTTCCAGTGTAGGGACTGAATACAGTTATTAGGGGTATATGCCACAAAATAAAAATATTTTACTGTATGAGCGTGCTCTGAAAGAATTTTAATCTCAGCTATTATCAGGAATCCTTGGCCATAATGATGCTCTTGCAAATTTCAATTCATATCTGCAATACAGGCTGTCACACAGAATTGCCACGTGAAACTGTAACAATTTAATCAGACTTCAACATGTATGAATCGATCACTGAGTTCTTAAGGAATATTTGCTAATTATAACCATGTTCACTCAGCCATACAGCTTCATAAGGGTGGTTAAAAATTCAAAACCCCAAAAAAAGCACTTAAGAGTTGAGGGTCTCATATTATTTTGCCCAAATCTATAATTATCTTCATGTTTTGTGGTCATTTGTGGTGTGCAAGAAATAATTAGGCTACAGTGCTATAATCCTTATTGCTGATTGGTGGAATTTAAGGAAAATATCTTTGGGGTGCTAGAAAATGAATCACTAACAGGAAAATAAGGTTGATATAACTTTCATGGTTAAACAGAAACCAAACTGGATGGCCAATCCTGCACGTCAATTATTGATATTTATTTTATAAAAGGGAATTTCATAAGGAAATACAATTTCTTAGAAATGAAATTGGAATGGGAGAATATAACTCTCCCACTCCAATTCAGACATGAAGAACTGACCACGAATCATTGTGAAAGACCACAAAGGTATATTCTATCAATAGCACACTCCGACATCAGATACCCCCATTCTTGAAACAACTCTAGTGAATAGGAAACATTAGCAGAAAGACCCAAATTCATATGCTTGCATGGATGCGCACTGGTAACTGAAAAGTTGGAAAATGAAATTCCTTTTCAACAATCAGATGAAGCTGAAGCTACTGAACACCTTTTCCCATATGCCTTGTTAGCAAGCTATAATAATATATATACTGAAGTCTTAAATCGTGAAGTTCCCACTGAGGCTCATGTCTGCCACATTAGCCCTTCCTATTTCTATCAAGATAAAAATTTGGGGATGTTGAAAGATAAGGAGTGTTGTGGTACTATGTCTCACAGGTAACAAATTAGTTGACATGGATGGAAAAGTATTGTGCATGAATATTTATCCTCATGGAACAGAAGATGTCATTATCGCTGAATATAATCATCACTGTCTACTAAAGGTATTTTGTGCTGCCTTCAACTAAGTATGTCCAAACTTTGTTTTTAACTGCAGTATACATACATACACACACATCACACTATTCCAGTGCATACACAACACCATTCACTATGCCTCTCCACACCTTTCTATTGCTGCAAACCATTCTTGCTTGTCATATCCATCTGCTGCTTCATATATTGCCTTTTGCTCTTTAACCTTCTCATTCTTCTCTTTGTGAGGCTCTCATGAACTCTGCCAAATCACAACTTTCTTAGTCTTAGTCTTGACCATTCACTCTTACTTCATATAATTGTTTTGCAACTCAGTGCTATATTCTCTCTATATACCCAAACCAACTCAAAGTATTTCTTCCATAGTGATAACTTTGTGTTCCATTTTCATTCATTCATTCATTCATTCATTCATTCATTCATTCATTCATTCA